GTCCGTCCCGGGCCGGGCCGGGCCGGGTCGGTCCGTTCGTCCCCGCCCGGGCTGGATCTGCGAGTTGCAGGAGCGGCAGTTGTTGGTCAGATGTTCGTGTTTCTGCTTCTCACTAAAGGACCTCGAACAGATGGCGAAGGAGCAAGATAAAGAGTCGGAGAAACAGGCTTTGCTGCGGGAAGTGGAAAACCATAAGAAACAAATGCTCAGGTGAGGGGGGTCGGGCAGCAATCGCTGGTTACAGGTTCCTTGTTGCCTGAGGTGATCAGTTCTGTACAACGTCTTTCGGATCCTGTTTTGCAAACACAGTTGCTGACACGATGGTGTTTTGCCCAAGACCAAGTGTGGATCAGGGATGGGAAGAGTAGAACTCCTTTCTCCTTTTCTCTCCCCTGTCCTGATTCCCCAACCGAGGTCTGTCCCTTTCAACAGCTGAGCATGTAAGTAGGTGGCTTGAGAGTCTGTCATTTGACAGCTGGTAAGGGTCTGTGTCACTTCACAGCTGGCACAGTTTTCTTGCCTTAATCCATAAACCAGACAGTTAGGAAAAGAAATTGACAAGACAGTATATTGTTATTCTGTGGTGTAATGCAGAGAAAGTCTGTGCACATATCTGGGGTGCTCGGGTGGTGACTGCTTTGTGAAAATTGTTTTCACTTGCAAGGAGTTATCATCAGGTTACAACATTGTACTTTTGTGATTTCAGCAATCAGGCAGCTTGGAGAAAAGCAAATCTAGCTTGCAAAATTGCTATTGACAACTCTGAGAAAGATCAGCTGCTGCAGGGAGGAGACTCCTTAAGACAAAGGTATGAACTGTCCCACTGCATGATCTGAGATTTAAGGACTGTATGCTGTACTCATTAGTTTTAAATAGAAGTGGCACAACGTTTTGAAGTGATTTAATTGTAGCTGGAACATAAATCTGCTCTTATGAGTGCATTTACCTTTTGTGGAGATGTAAACTGTTAGGAACTGTGATAATTTCAGGTTTTGTTGGTGTTGGTATGTCTAAGCAGAGAAGGGGATAAGTTAGCCTTCATAGTTTTTCTGTCTGTCATTTACATTTATGCTAATCAGGGTTTTAAACAAGTAGTGGATCATCATGCAAGCTGTTTTCTCATGCAAAACCGGGTGTAAGCTCATGTAATTGTAATAAGTTGGCATATTTAGTATCATGAAGTAACAAATGGGATACCCAAGATAATAAAGTAGTTTTATCAGAGCTTCCACACCATCTCATGAAGCTGTATAGGCATGGATGAAAAAACAGGGAAATACAGGCCTTCATGAGATACTGAGATGGTTGTTTTGACTCATTATTTTAGTATTTTCTGATATTTTTTTTTTATTGTTTAGTGAAGATAATCTGAATTTGTCATGCAGTAAAAGCTAGTTGTGTCTTTTATATGTTGGCAAAGATCTTTGGGGCCAGGCTCTGTTCTAAGCTCCCTGACAACAGCATTTTCCCCACAGTACCCAGAGATGTAATTTCATCCCTTCCTGCTTTACTTTTTCTGTTTCTTTTTCAGGAAGACTACAAAGAAGAGTCTGGCAGAGAGTGCAAGTAACATCACGGAGAGTCTGATGGGCATTAGCAGGATGATGTCACAGCAAGTCCAGCAGAGTGAGGAAACCATGCAGACCCTAGGTACAGAGGTTATTTGGGTGTTGGGGTATGGATTAGATGATGGAAACACCTTTTGCCAGTTCACTTAGGATGGGGAGAGACAAAATGACATGGTGTGGAGCATGGTGCAAACCTGCTTTCCTGTAGGAGAATGTACTACGAGGCTATTTAAAGGACCGTTCAGCAGAATTCCTCTAATAGTTTGACATAAGCAGAGAATAATAACATACATTGCATGGAGTTGGTTGTTGGAGTTTCTGTTTCATTGTTATGAAAAGGAAGAGAGGGCAGAATGAGGATCTTTTGCTTTTGTTTCACATAAAAGCAACTAAAAGCAATGTGAGTTCACAGGGTGCTAAGAGCGTAGTTGGTGTTGCTCTGCTACTGTCCTGGCATGCATTTGGTAACAGCAGAGAAAATGAAAGCATAAGTACAAGTCCATGCACAGGAGAAACTTATTATGGCTGGGTCTAAGCAGAGAAGGGGATAAGTTAGCCTTCATAGTTTTTCTGTCTGTCATTTACATTTATGCTAATCAGGGTTTTAAACAAGTAGTGGATCATCATGCAAGCTGTTTTCTCATGCAAAACCGGGTGTAAGCTCATGTAATTGTAATAAGTTGGCATATTTAGTATCATGAAGTAACAAATGGGATACCCAAGATAATAAAGTAGTTTTATCAGAGCTTCCACACCATCTCATGAAGCTGTATAGGCATGGATGAAAAAACAGGGAAATACAGGCCTTCATGAGATACTGAGATGGTTGTTTTGACTCATTATTTTAGTATTTTCTGATATTTTTTTTTTATTGTTTAGTGAAGATAATCTGAATTTGTCATGCAGTAAAAGCTAGTTGTGTCTTTTATATGTTGGCAAAGATCTTTGGGGCCAGGCTCTGTTCTAAGCTCCCTGACAACAGCATTTTCCCCACAGTACCCAGAGATGTAATTTCATCCCTTCCTGCTTTACTTTTTCTGTTTCTTTTTCAGGAAGACTACAAAGAAGAGTCTGGCAGAGAGTGCAAGTAACATCACGGAGAGTCTGATGGGCATTAGCAGGATGATGTCACAGCAAGTCCAGCAGAGTGAGGAAACCATGCAGACCCTAGGTACAGAGGTTATTTGGGTGTTGGGGTATGGATTAGATGATGGAAACACCTTTTGCCAGTTCACTTAGGATGGGGAGAGACAAAATGACATGGTGTGGAGCATGGTGCAAACCTGCTTTCCTGTAGGAGAATGTACTACGAGGCTATTTAAAGGACCGTTCAGCAGAATTCCTCTAATAGTTTGACATAAGCAGAGAATAATAACATACATTGCATGGAGTTGGTTGTTGGAGTTTCTGTTTCATTGTTATGAAAAGGAAGAGAGGGCAGAATGAGGATCTTTTGCTTTTGTTTCACATAAAAGCAACTAAAAGCAATGTGAGTTCACAGGGTGCTAAGAGCGTAGTTGGTGTTGCTCTGCTACTGTCCTGGCATGCATTTGGTAACAGCAGAGAAAATGAAAGCATAAGTACAAGTCCATGCACAGGAGAAACTTATTATGGCTGGAAGACTGTTTTCACCCAGTCTCCAGCTGGGATGAGTAAGAGACGGGGGGGATCAAGTGACTTGAACCCGAGGTCACTCGCTCTGTCAGCAGAGCATCAGGGACTGTGAAACCGAGATTTCACCCAGGTCTTTGGCTTAGACTCCTAAGACAATAAATCAAGTGACCTGGCAGAACTGGTGATTCATGAAGTATTTAGAAGTTGGATCTGTGTTGCCTGGGCCTCTTACTAGCTGTGCTTTTGGGCAAACAGTTTGAAGACAGGGATAAGTAACAACTTTTGCCTTCCTTGTTCTCTGCCCCCATCTGAGGATGGCAGCTGGGCATGGTTTTGTTCATGCAAATGTAGCATGTTTCTTCTCCCATTAAAAAGACAGTTTGGCAGACACTTTTTCACCCCATTTCTGACTGAATAGCAGTTGGAGTTCATCAGGGAAAAAACTATCAAAAGTCATTTACAAAACCCAGCTGCAAATTTCAAATAAGTCATTAGAATTTCCTTTTTTCTGATCAAGTCCTTTCCTAGCGTGCAGCAAAAATATAAAGCTGTGAAGTAGGGAAGTTCTGCTTTGTCATGAATGATGGGAAACAAGTTTTCTGTTTCGCTTGGATCACAGTGCCTCTTGAAGATGGGAGATAATGGTTTGCAAAATATTACGGACATATTTGTGCTGTGCTTGTTTTTGTGAACCAGACAATGCTTGGAGTTTGACCTTTCTTTAATCAATCAGTTCACTACAGAGTGATCTATCAGCGTTCCCTGTTGTACAGGGTATGCATTTTGTAATACAAGAAAAATAGGACTCCTCAGTAATTTAGAAGGAGGAAGGCTGAGGAGTTGGGAGCATCAGTGTGTTTGCTTGTTTGTTTTCTTACAGGGAAAGAGGAGGTGAAAGGGACCAATGTTCCTTCAAGCTGTTTTGGCATATTCTCAAGTTCTATCTTTAGTTAAGACCAATCAACACACTTTTCCTCTAGCTTATTTTCTCTTTTTTATTAGGGAAAAACAAAACAAAAAATAATTGTTTGTCAAAAATAACTATTAAAAACTGTTTAAATTGTTTGAGCTGAACAATTAAGGAGCTTTTACTGCAGCATGTTTCTTTTTAACTTTCTGCAACCCCATCCAAAACACTGATTTACTGCTCTGGCTTGAGGGAACAGTTGCAGTTGTGCAATTAGTATATTCAAGTATTGACCTGTCGTGCTGCTGCTAGAACTGGTGATGCTAATGGTGATTTTGTCTCTCTTAATTTGGTGTTTCTAGCAGCATTCTTACTTCACTCTGCTTCCAGTGAGCTCTCAGGTAGCACTGCCTTTTTTCATAAAAAACATGAACTAGGTTTGATCTGGTTACCTAAACATTCTGGAACAGGACATGGGTCTGTAAGCCTTTCTGAACTCTTTATTTTGCTTTGCATTTTTCCTTAGCACATCAGGACTATTTACTTGTGAAAGCTTCTGCAAGAACAGTCTGCATTTGTCTTGCCCATGAGTCAGTCTGACCCAGGAGGCTCTCACAGGCACTATCTGTATTGCCAAATATTGCATGCTTATATCCTTTGCCGTGGTGTTTCTGAAGCTCAGCCAGCTGATGATTTTCTTTCCCCCCCCCCTTGATTTCAGCCAATTCTTCACGAACCATCCTGGAGGCAAATGAAGAATTTAAGTCCATGTCTGGGACAATTCAGCTGGGGAGAAAGCTCATCACAAAGTACAACCGCAGGGAACTGACGGACAAGCTGCTCATCTTTCTTGCCCTTGCCTTGTTCCTCGCCACCGTGCTCTATATTTTGAAAAAAAGACTCTTTCCATTTTTGTAAAACTCCAAAGTTAGACTGAAGTATTAAAAAAGATCAGAAAGAGATGGCATAATCATGGTAGGGCTTTTAAATAAAATAATAAAGGGATATAGCAATGACTGACAGAGTGTTAGAGCAGGCGTGACATTGTACTGTCCCCATGGAGCATGTGACCTGACTAAGAGAGAAGGAGCAGAAGTCAGGAAGAAGCAGGTAGATCCAGGTGTGGAAAGAAGAAACACCAATCTGCCTGTAGGTTTGGGGAACAAGATGAACACTTGAGGAACTAGGCACTCAAAGGTGCCAGTATTAACTTTCAACCTCTCTTTATTCTGCCTTGAAATTAACTTCTGTCCTTGGCTTGGACTGGAAGTTGCTTTGACATCAATCTGAGGTGCTGAGAGAAGAGGAAGGATGGAAGAGAGAAACTCGCATACATGCCATTAATTAACTATCTGTTGTATCAGTGTAAACTGAGTTTTGTTTAAAAACAAAGTCTAATGGATTGAAAGAGCCTGAATAACTTCCAGTGTAAAAATTCTATGTAATTCTTAAACCAGTTGTCGCTTATGGAGTGTTTTTTCTGGGAGCATAACACATGCAGCCTGGCTCTGCTCCTCTTGGCCTCAGGGGACTCTCACCAAAGCAAAAATGGGAGATGCATTTGTTACTAATAATTGGTGCAATATATTTGAGAATTACATTTCCAATCTGTTGAAATCAAAGCCTTTGTGTTCCTTTTCTTTATAAAATTCCACTTTATATTTGCAAAATACTGCCAAGTTGTATATTTGAAATTTTTTCTTTCTCATACAGCTGATTTTTTCTCAGTGCAGTATGTTACAATTACTACATTCCCTATCTCTTGTGCTTTAGTAATGGGAAGTGATTTGCTTTAATAACATGAATACCAGCTTGCAACAGTCCATGTCATACCTTGAAGTACTAAAAATTGCACTGTGATGTTCTTAAAACTGATGTTGCCTTGTCTTCTGGAAATTGTTTCATTGTTTCTTCAGAGCTGTCTGGTAAAGTTTACATTTTGTTTAGGAAATTCTCACAGAATGGTTAAATACTGCCTTAATTTAGCCAGTAGAAATGAACTTTTTCAAAAGGCAGTGCTACATAAATCCTAAGAAATGCCATGTGAAGGAAAATGCAGTGTGTAAGTTTATGTGGAATCTGAGGCTGGGTTACCTTTGTAGTTAGTTTGCAATAGTATCTTTAGAGAGAAGAGGTGACCAGTCGATTATCTTGTAATATTTATTTACTAGATCTCTCCAGCAGTCCCAGTTTACCCTTTTGCTGGCAGCTGCTAGAAGTGGTGAGTGAATCCAGAAGTGGCAGGAGGTTGTGGGAATCCAGCCTGGAGTGCGGGACAGTTGAAGTGGTGATTTTGTGGCTAAGTGCATAAACAAGAAAAGCTGGCATTTAGAATCCAGTTCAAAATCACGGGCTCTGCCTCAAGAGTATGATCCCTGAGCCTTTCGTCTTGGGATAGTAACAAGGCATTTGGAAACCCCTGCAGTAGGGTTGGTACATCCCGCAGAGGGCACCACTGCCTGGGAGTCGAGAGTGTTTTCTTGCCCTGGAATTCCTGTGCTACATAGACAAGACAGAATGGATGTGGCTTTTCCCGTATAGTTTCCTCATCCTGTGTCAGTGCAGCCTTCCTAAGAGACAGAATGACATAAAGATTGAAAGAAACTGACAATGTGCGTGTTCTGCTTCTGAATAAGAGCGAAATTACTCAGCTTGAAAAAGATGTATGTTGCACAAAATCAAGGCATATGTGCTTTTTGATGATAAGAGAAGCCTTGCTTTGGAAGAAGTCTTCTGCTGAGCAGACTGCGTGTGCTTTTTAATGATAAGAGAAGCCTTTGGAAGAAGTCTTCTGCTGAGCAGACTGCTAACCGAGGAGAGCCTGTGTGATCTGCATGTTGGGGCCACAACAGAGCAAGTTTCATCTGGGTCAGTGATCCTGGCTGTTGCATTTCACATGAAACATCTCTGGTGTCAGGCTCCTGCCCTCTCTGGAGCCTGCTTGTCCCTCTCCCCCCACGCACAGATGTCTACAGACATACGAAGGGTGATGAAAGTGTGTCCACCTTTCCCTTTGTCTTGGAAAATACAGCTTGAAATACAAATAATATTTTAAGACATGAAGTTTGTTTAGATGGTGAATACATTTCAAATTAATTGCTGTGCAGGAGTTCCTGTTTTCCACATCAGTGCAGTGCCATTTTGTGCAACTTCAGAGCAGTCAATAAAATTAATTTTGTGGACTATTTCTTCTAGGCCAGCTGTAGCACTGCAGCTTTCTTTTTTTCAGCCAGCTTGAAAATAGCCTTGTCTTTCTGAAACACAGTACCTGCAGGTGGTCAAACACCAGCTGCTTCACTGTTTCCTCCCTCACGTGGATGCAATATAAAAATAGGGTGTTGCTAATCTCTGAGATACTGGGATGCTAAGCAGAGGAGAGAGCTTTGCTCTGAGCAGTGACGCAGCATGACTGTCTACAGGAAGTTTCACTGGGTTTATCTTTGCAACGTGCTCCTGTCAGAACCTAGATCAACCTTTAAAAAAGCAGCAGTTTCTGCCAGTGCTGAGAATTTCAGTGAAGTCTGTTTTAAAGGAGTTATCTTTTTGAATGGGGGTTGTAATGTAACAGTTTTGGGGGGAAATAAAAGGTCTATTGCTGAATGTCTTGTTTTTTCCTCTCTTCTCATTACTGAAATTTTATCTTTTAGACCTTGACCTGCTGGAACACTCTTAAGGGCAAAAAATAACTTATAAGAACCTTCCTTATGGCATTTTCTTAACATTGCATCTGGATTTAATGAAAAAAAACCCACAAAAACAGACCTAGTCCTTTTGTAAGCATACCTGCCTGCCCTGTATGAACTGACTGTCAACTCCCAGTCCTTAGAGACAAGGAATTAAGTGAAAAAAGATCAAGGACAACTGAACCTTTTGAGAGAAGGGAATAGAAATCCTCCCTGGGATGCAACGGGTCCGTTTGCAGCACTTGGTTCTTGAACTGTTTCCTTCCACAGGCAGCCAGAAAGCATCCTGATGGGCCACAGCCCTGAAAAGAAGTAGTAAGTGGAGACTCTGATAAATGTCATTTCCTCTTTGGGGTTAGAAGGGTGATTTGGTGAAGCACCATCTCTAAGATATGGGGTTAGCCACCCCAAATGGTGCCCTAGTATATACCCTGTCTTGGTGGTTGGATGCTGGGGCACAGCCAGAGCTGGTGGTAGGTGCCTCTAGGTTCCTCCTGGGCAGGATGGGATGCCTCAATCAGCCCTTGTGGTCCACAGCTGGGGTGGCTCAGTCAGTGCACTCAAACATCCTCCCTCCAGGCTGCAGTATGATGGCTGGCTTGCTCCTCACCTACAGGCCTTGTTCCTGGCTTGAAGGTAGGTCTGTCTGATTTTTTGAATAAATGAGTGGGAGGAATATTGTAGGAAGAAGGGGTGGTTGTGCCTGGCTTTTTGTTGTCTGCCACATGCAGTGTTTATCCAGGGAGTGTGGATGGTTGTGCCTGTGCAGTTATTTTGTGGCTACAGGAGGATTTATATTTGGATTGTTTGCCTTTTGGGGAGCCTACTGGTCTCTGTGGCTACTTCTGAATATGAAGATGGGGTTTGAAACACACAGTGCGGTGTGTCTTGGGGGTCTTGCTTTTGCTGCATGCTCAAGGTTTTGTGAAGGCTAAAAACTGGCATCACACTCATTTCTTTGTAAGGGAGCAGTGTTTTCTTTGGTGCTTCACTCTTAAAGTTTGCTCTGATGAGTACAGCAGACTTTTCAGGGATGGTGAGAAGAATATGGCCTCTGCTTCCTCTGTACTTTTGGGCTCAGGTGTGATTCGAGGATCAAGGATTGGAGCTCTCCTGAGACCAGGAGCTCCAGGACTACAGAAAGTGTTTAGGAAGCTTTGGTGGAAGAGAGAAACAAAAAGGGCTCTGGATAAGTGTTCAGGGCTATGCCAGAAGGTTCATGCACAAGTGAAAACAAATGTGAATGTTGCAATTCCTACCTGGACCATTCCTCCCATACCTCCCTCAGACAGCAGGTATCAGATGTGGGCACTGCTAGCTGATAGTGGGATTCATTGTAGCAAAACAATTGCAGTGAAAATCTTTCCCCCAAAGAATAATACTCCTTTAAAACAAGGAAAAAGGAATTACTGTGAGGTTAAAAAGGGTGTGAAATCTCCTTGCCCTGGAGCTTACGGGCTGAGACAGGCAGCTGGCAGCAATTGAGCAGCTGTGGGTTAATGAACTCCAGCTCATCAGCTGTGTGGAGATGAAATACCTGTGTCCTCCAGCGAAGGGGGCTGAAGCCATTTGAAGGACTATAGGTGCTTTGCTGTGCAGCTGGAGCTGCTTAGGAATGAGGAAGGGGCAATTTTGATTCCTCAGTAGATTTAGAGGTTTAGAGCTTGCTGGTTTTTGAGAGTCCATGTCAGTTCCTGCCTATGGAGTTCAACCTTCTGAGATCAGTTTGCTTTTTTCTGAATACCTGTGGAAAAGGGGGAAAGGCCTGGAAGTTGACCTTTGGTGTGTCAGGAGGCAGGCAGCACTGCTGGATATTTAGCTGTGTGCCAGTGTGTGCTTAGTGGGCTGTAGGCATGGATCTGATCATGGTCTCCCTGTTCCTGCGTGGCCACACTGCAAAGCCTGTGGGCAGGAACAGGCACCTGTCAGGTGTCCACGGTTCTGTAGCTGGGATCATGGGCTTCTCCCCCACACATCCCTAAAGTCTGCAGCATGGTGGTCACTTCCTAAAGGTTTAGTTAGATGTATGTTTTCAAGGAAAGTCTCCTTTTAGTTATTAGAATAAAACATGAACCCGAGGGAAGGAATTTCAAGTAGTTTTAACATATGGTGTAGCTGCTGAAAAGACTGGTTTGATTTATTTCATTATTGGCTACAGTGGCATCAAAGACAGAAATATGAGTCTATGTAGGAAAATAAATTAAGAGTGTAATATTGTTTATTTTTTTCTTGTCTAAAAATTGAGGCAAAATTAAGTCTGTATTTGAAGTTCTGCTTTTGAAATGCTTTCCACATAACTGGCTTTACCAAAATGGAAGGGTGAATTCATGCTTGGAAGTTTCTAAAAATGTCTCTGCCAAATGTGCAAGGCTGCTATCA